TTCTATCCTATTTAAAATGAGTGGACTGAGAGCATCTTCAGCAATTACAACCAAAGACCTGCATTGGCCTTGGCAATTTCCAGAGTGGGTACAGTGGGCAGGACACTGGAAATCAGAAGTATCCCAGAATCCCCCTTTCTGAGCTTTTTATGCATTGCTCAACTAGAGGGATGTGGACTCTTAGTTGAATTCTGTGCCTTCAATTCCTAATTCACCACTGAATGTTTTTCTGCCCTATGATGTGAGGACACTCTCCCGAATCTTTGTGATTCCATCAAAAATGATGTTGCTGATTTCTCTGCCTCCATTTGCAGGAATTGTGGCAAAGTGAGCAATCTCTTCAGGGGTGAGCATAGGTTTAGAGGGCTTCTTTCTAAATTTGTGGTTACAGCATCAACACGCAACTTCACACCTTCCTGGTTTCCCCTGGTGAACACCTTTGCTCAGCCTGAAGCCTTCCCTGGCCACCGAACATTCCAGTGCATAGCAGGGTGGTGCCACCACAGCCTCTTCATGTATGTGTTGGCGGCACCCTGGTCAAATCTGGTGTGATGGTTTTATATTTATTCTGTAAGGCGTCTGACCTGGCAACAGACACCTCACCTTTGGTTGCTTCCCAGCTGTGCTTCGAAATCCCTGTCCTCCCCACTGCCCTTCTCCACGGCAAGGACGTGGGTGTCTGCTGGAAGGTCTGAAGCTGGAAGCAGTAGGTCTTAGGCATCTGCACTGAATTTTATATCCGTGGCATAAATCTGACTGAGATGAGGAGCCAGTGTGCTAGAAGGACTGTGAGTAATGAAAGTATTCCTGCGGGCTGCTGCCAGGCAGCGAGGCAGGCCTCTGTGACGAGGGACAGTGCAGGAGGCACATCCACATTTTCAAAGGGGAGATCAGATTTCACTTTTTAAGAGATCACGCTCTGCAACGTTTTTAAAGATGGGCTAGAAGAGACTGAATCGATGAACAAAATCAAGCGGAAATGATGAGTCTAGGGCAGGAGTGGCTTAGAACCTGGGAAGAAGGTACACAGGTTGAATGAATTGGATTTGGTGAAGGAGTAGGTGTGGTGGTGGGGGGTGGGGGTTCGGGGGGCGGGGCGGGGAGGCGATGAGGGGGTGCTCCAGCCAGCAGGACAGCCCAGTGGTGGGGAAGGGGGATGATCGAGGTTAGGGCATGATCGCCCTGTGGAGGGAAGTCTGAATCTATTGGGAAGAGCAGAAACTGCAGGTTCCACCACCGGAGATTCCCAGAGCCTTGGAGAGAGGTCAGACCTCCCTCTCCACTCTACTCACAGGTCCTGTCTCTGGCTAGCTCAGCCCAATAACTCATGCTGGAGGCTGGAGAGGCATTTGTATTGCCAGATTCTTCTAGCTAAATGTGTACCATGTGTCCCGCTAACCTTTACAGCAGCGGGGAAATGTCTTGTAATTAACCAGAATATAAAGGATGAATGGAGCAGCCTGGCAGGCTCCTGTAGGCATTATCATTCGCAGGAGATGAATGCACCTAGTAAGATTTCCATCAACCAGTTAAAGCCTGCACTCCTCGCCTGGGAACCCTGACTGTTCACATTCAGCACGAGAGCATGTGTGAGTGTGAGTTGCATGGTGTATGTGAGCACTGATAGACACATGTACACAGTGCACCGCGTGCTCTTTGGATATGACACCCCCTCATGTCCTCCTGCACCTCCCGGTTCCCCTCCAGCAACTTCAAGGAAACCCCATGCAGGATTTGCCCTGGGAATGGCATCCATGGTGCACTGGCCCTTTCCCCACCCCCCTTCCCAAGTGTGCAGGACAACTGGAAACAAGAGAACTGGGAAGGCTGACTCTCCTCCTCCTTCTTGGCTAGGTGCCCAGTCATCTCCACAGACCTGGCCTCATATGGGCCACACTGGGTGACAGAGACCTGCCCCCACCCCCTGCCCCCACCCCTGCCCCAATACCTGGCCTGGGGAGAAGAGACCGCTCCCCCACCCCTACCCCAATGCTGGGCCTCAGGGAGCAGAGAATCCCACACCCCTACCCCAATGCTGGGCGTCGGGGAGAAGAGAACCGCCCCCCCCACACACACACACACCCCTACCCCAATGCTGGGCCTCAGAGAGTAGAGAACCCCACACCCCTACCCCAATGCTGGGCCTCAGGGAGAAGAGGACCCCACACCCCTACCCCAATGCTGGGCCTCGGGGAGAAGAGAACCCCCCCACACACACCCCTACCCCAATGCTGGGCCTCGGGGAGAAGAGAACTCCCCCCCACACACCTCTACCCCAATGCTGGGCCTCGGGGAGAAGAGAACCCCAAACCCCTACCCCAATGCTGGGCCTCAGGGAGAAGAGACAACCCCCCACACCCCTACCCCTATGCTGGGCCTCAGGGAGAAGAGCTCCACTGGTCTTGCAGTGCTGGGACCACTCTCGTTCTCTTGGGATGATCAAATCAGAGGAATTTTCCCTGCCGCACTCTATTAGCTAGGCTTGAATAATGCATGCTCCCCTACCGACACCCTCTGTTTAATAATGGTCCATGTTGGTGTTCATTGGAAATTTTCCTGCTGGATACACTTGGAGAGTAATGCACATTTATAAAAGGGTCTGAGTGCACATTAGAAAGCAGGGGCTCTGTGGTAGTTACTGAATTCTGTCAGGTGTTCAGCTTCGACAGCAACTTGGCGGGGGGCAAATCCTTGGGGAGCTTTTTGGTGCAGGCAGAGCGGGGTGGGCTAGGGGTGCTGGGAGGTGGACCCCTGGCACACCTGGTCACTGTGGGCTTTAGTTTCAGGATTGGCACGTCACCACAAGTGCAGAGCAACTACCTGAGTTTCCAGGGCCTGAGCTGGGAGGGCAGATGCTGGAGAAGGTGGACAGTGCCCCTGGGATTGCTGTGGGGGCAGGCCGCAAGAGAAGATGCTGAGGTTCGGCAGAGAGCACAGCCGATGCTACTCCATGACCTAGGGCAGCGGTTCTCAACCTTCTGGCCCTTTAAATACAGTTCCTCATGTTGTGACCCAACCATAGAATTATTTTCGTTGCTACTTCATAACTGTCATGTTGCTACTGTTATGAATCGTCATGTAAATACCTGATATGCAGGATGGTCTTAGGTGACCCCTGTGAAAGGGTCGTTCGACCGCCAAAGGGGTCGCGACCCACAGGTTGAGAACTGCTGACCGAGGGCAAATCCCTTTAACCGCTGGGACCCTGATTTTATTATCTGTTAAGTAGGTATAATAACTACGGGTGAAGGTGGTTGAGTGTATAAGGACCAAGTGAAATGAGTATTGAGTGCCCACTGTGCGCCAGGCACTGTTCTAGGCATTGGCGATACAGCAGTGAACACAATAGCCGAAAACCCCTGCCTTTGTGGAGCGTACATTACAATGTGGGGTGACCAGACTCGCTAAGTAAATGAGTGTGTGAGAGAAAGTTTGGGAGATAAAGTAGGGAATGGGAGGGAGAGTTGGGGTTGGAGGTGTAGGTTTAAATGTAGCAGTGTGAGAAGGCCTCCATGAGGAACTGGTGTTTACGTGAATACTTCCAGGGGGAAAAGGAGAGAATCATAAAGATTTCTGGGGGAGAGCCTTCTAGGGAACTGGCCAGCGGGAGCAGAAACATGCCTGGCATATTATAGGAACAACAGAGAGGCCCATGGCTGGAGGAGAGTGATTGAGGTCATGGGGAGGGCAGATAGGTCTGTGCGGGCCATTTTAAAGGCTTCAGCTTTCCCTCTAGGAGACAAGGGTTGCCGCTGATGCGTTCTGAGCAGAGATGTAATGTGGTCTCACTTATGTTTTAAAGGATCCCTTTGGCTCTTGTGCTGAGAACAGATTGTAACAGGGGCAGGAGGGAAGATGGGAGGCCATGGCAACAGGGAGAGAAGTGGTGCAGGGTTGGGTCAGCATGATAGACACGGAATTGCATTTGGATAGATTGGGAAAGGTTTGCTGATGCAGCGGTGTGGGTGGGAGGAAAGAAAGGAGTCAAGGACCCTGATGTTAATAAAGAACTGGTAAGGCACTTCGCCCAGGGCCTGGCGCCTAGGAAGTGCCTGGTCACAGATGCTGCTGCCACGGCTGGGTGTCTGAGTGGGGCTGAGGCAGCCTGCAGAGGCCAGCTGTGAGATGCCACGGGGCTCTGGGATTGGATAGATACCCACAAGCCACCTAACCAGAGACAGGACGAAGCCCTTGGAGGCCAGCAGAGTGCACTGGGGAGCTGGGGTAGTCACACCCAAGATGGTGGATTTATGTAGAGGAGTGGTCTTTGGAATTGAGTTCTGGCTCAGGTGCCTTGGCTGTGTTATTTGGCAAAGTCCTAAAAACCTGTAGACTGGACTCGGTGATTGGACCAAAACCCAGTTCAATCCATCAGGCCAGCGCTGAGCCAAGCGCCACCCCCTAAAGGCCTCCAGGACCCAGCTTCTCCTGCCCACAATAGGTCGGCGGGAGTAGGCTGTATTGATTGGCTCCACCAGTCCCTTGTCCTCCTGGGACCAGCCATGTCTTTCTTCTCCCAGTGATGCCAGGGGGCAAGACTGATCTGATAGGCACTTTTCACGCCTTTGGACATGTCAAGGCCTCCAAAATTCCACTGCCCAAACCCAAAGTCAAGGAGGACACAGTCACCTGGCAAAGGGTGTGGATTCAGGGAGGGTGACAATTTGGTGCCATTATCCAGTCTAACACACCAGGTCAGGGCTGGTTTGGGGCATGGGCAGGGCTGAATCTGCGGGGAAGCCGGCAGGCAGGGCTTCCCACGTGCACAGGAGGTCACCTTGTCTGCCTGGCCCAGAGGACCAGCCTGGATAGCAGCTCTTGCTTCAGGTCTGGGCGCCTGCTGCACTTGAATGCTACCCTTGGTGTATCCTTGCCTAGAGGGGCTTCTGGCGTAAATCCAGCATGGAAAGTCGCAAGCCAAGAGAGGGATCAATCCAGAGGGCCCCATCCCTAATCACAGACAATAACTTAAACGTTTTTCCCTCTTGCTTCCTCTCTAGTCAAGAAGCAAATTGAGTTGAAGTCTCGAGGTGTGAAGCTGATGCCCAGCAAAGATAGCCAGAAGACATCTGTGTGTAAGTGTCCGCCCGCTGGCCCGTGCCAGCCTCTCGCTTTACCTCAGACCCTCCAGTGCTGTGACCATGGGGGAACCAGATGATGCTGCAGTGGTTTTCCTTCAATCCTGCCTCCCTTCGTCCCAGGCTCTGCGCACGGACACACTGGCCTGGTGGCCAGTGAGCAGCCCAAGGGCCTGTCCTCAGCCTTCTCCTCCTCCCCGTCTTCCCATCTCCCTCCTTGCTCCTCTTTCTCCCTCACTTCCCATTCTAACTGTAGTCCAGGGAGTCATTACTGCTCCATTTCTCTCTTTATTTTTCCTTTTGAATCACTTCCACCTGCTAAGACCGTCCTTTTTCTGGCTCCTTCTCTAGGAGTCAGTGACCTCCAGCTGGGACCTTGGAGTCTGCAGGGCCCCATTTCCAGCCCCCGTGGCAAGATTGGGAAGGGGAGCGAGGGAAATGCTGAGTAACCTCCACCAGGGTCCCTGGACCTGGCTGGGCCAAGAGTGGACTAGATGGGGGGGGGGGGGGGCGTCCTGCCTCTTGAGCCAGTGGGGCAGTGCTGGGCTCTCTGCTTGGGGACAGTTATGTCTGTGGAACATGTTCCTGCTATTGGTGTCTGAGAGATTTAAAGGGGGGCATCCGACACTGGGGAGTGGGCTGGATGTCATCCAGAAGCACCTGATTGAAACCTGTGCTGTGGGGCTTTGGGGCTAGAGCATAGGAAGAGTTGGGGAAGGCTCTGGGTGCCACCTGGAAGGCTGGTCTTGAAAGCAAAGGAGATTTTAACAAGAATCCCTCTCTTTTCATTCTGGAAGTGAGTAGGGGGGCCTTCCATGGTCCCCAATGACTGGCCTTCAGGTTTACTATCTCCTCCCTTTCCTTCCTTTACCCTCTGCATCTCACATCCTTCAGTCTCTCCCTCCACGTTCCCCCCTCCTTCCTCCTCACCTTCTCTGCTTTCTCCTCCTCCTCTATTTCTCTCCTCCCTCCTGCCCCTCTCCTCTCATCTCACCTCCATGTGCTTACTTCTCTTGAGGTGCAAGCAGTGCTTCCTGAGAGACAGGAAGCCGCCATCGGTGTCCCAGAGCTCTGTACTGTGTGTGGTGGGAGCAGGGCTGGGCAGAGGCAGTTCGGTCCTGAGACCCCAGTGGAACTGAGCCTGGGTGTGGGATTTTTCTGTGGTCTTTCAAGTCATCCAATCAAGAGAGGGTACCACTCCCCGTCTCTGGGGTCCATCATCTGGTCACTGTACCCCCGAGAAGGCTGGATGGCAGGGAGCAGTCAGGAGGCCATACGTCTGTGTGACTGGGGACCAGGGGAAGAAGCAGGGAGCCAGGACAGCCGAGGGTTAGGCCAGGAGTCTGCAGAGAAGGCTCTAACCCTGGCCCTGGCCCTCATAGGCCACAGGAGACTTGATGAACTGAGGCAGGCACGGTTTAATTTCCGAGTTTGCCCTGAAGCCTCAGGCAAACTGTAAGGAAATGGCCCAGATTTGGGAGAGCAAATTTTTATCCCACTGTGTCTTCAAGTAATTGTGTTGCCCCAGGAACTTATGTATCAGTTTCCACGTCTGTAAAAAGGGGATACGAAACCTTACCCTCTCTTCCTTCTGGGGATGCTAAGATGAGCCTAGGACTTCAGGAGGTCCATGAACTGGCCAACAATGACAGTGATGCTGTGGGTGCCTTTTATGGGAGAGGGGGCCCATGGTTTTCATTGCTACTCCGAGGTGCCCAGAACTCCCTTGGAAAGATTTATAAACCTTATTCTAATGAAATAATGCAAACTATTTGGGGCGGGGGGATCTCTCTGTTACAAGGTACTGGTCTTTGTTGAGATTTCCTTGTGTGACTCAAGCTGCCTCTGAGGCAGGTAACCAAGTGTATGCAGGTATCTGACCCAATGTGTTTTGCTCAAATGCCCTATGGACAGGTGTTCTGAATTTCTCCACTTACATATCCTGGACCCTGCTTGTTGCCTTCATCAGACAGTCCGTGGGTACCATAGATCCTCCGCCATCGGTTCTGGCCACCCACGTGTCCATGCCTCCCTTCACTCTGGATAGAAGCATCACCTTTCTGAGCATGTTTCAGATTCTTACTCACCGTAGGGGTCCTCACAGGGTGAGAGTAAGATTCACCTTCCCTTCTCCTTCTGCTCTCTGCAGCCAAAAGCAAATTAATGCCGCAAACACAGCCGCTGGTTTTGATTAGGCAGGGGAGATTGGAATTATAGAAAGAGAGGGAAAAGCCTCTTGCCTCTGTATTCAGGCAGGAAACTGTTCCCTGCAACCTAAGTTTGCTTGTTGCCTGGGGAGCCTAAAGTCCGCATGGGGCTGCTGTGGTCTGCTCAGTCCTCCCAGGAAGACGACACCAGTGGGGTGTGGGCGGCTCCCCGCTGGGCTCGTAACTTCCTGGACGGTGGCTGGACCTTCCTTTGGGCTGGCTGATGTAAGGAGGGTGGCAGGTTTGCTCCATTTGCCTGGTGGGTGGGCTGTGCCAGGGTCTCTCCTCTGGTCCAGAGCGTCTTCATCTGTTAGCCTTCCACTCCGCTCACTGGGTGGTGTCAGTGCTGACTGAGAGGGCAAGAAAGGGGCAGGTCATTCCTGTCCATTGTTGATGTGCTACCAGGTGGCTGTGTGGTTCCGATGGGTGGTCTCAGGGACTTCGGGATGGGTGTGATCGACCGGCAGGGTGGAGTAGGCAGGGCCTAAAGAACGTGAGAGCTTAGCTGGGAAGTCCTCAAAGGGATGGAACACATGGGCTGGCTTACCAACAGATGAGCCACAAGTACAGTGTAGCTCCGGTCTGACCTCCTCATCTCAGAACAGAGCCTCCTCTCTCCTTCCCATGCCCTGGGGATCCTGGATCCAGTTCTCTCTTCGCCCCAGCTTGCAACACTGAGGCTCTGGGAGGCAGGAACTGCTCTGCCTTTGGAGGCTGCATTTCCATCTTATCATCCAGACCCTGAGGCCTGGTGGCCATAGGGACATTGCTAAGTTTAGCAAGTGAAAGCTTTGGAGGAGAGGCTTGGCCAGGGAGGGGAGGGGAGCAGGGGTAAGAGTCCAGTGGGAGTGAGTGGATTTAACCTGGTGATGTGGAATGGTGGCGAAAGGGAAGCTACCCAAGAGGCCATGAGCTCTGCCACACGAACGAGAAGATAGCAGATGTCCAAACTCCCAGATCCCTTCGCCAGCCATACCCTGGGGTGCCTGGAGATTTGAACAGTGTCTACACCAGGCTTCTAACTATAGAAATGAGCTTCAGACTCTGAGTCTAAAGTGCAGCTCCTCACAGGCCCTTGGCCAGGAAGTCCCCTGCTTCCTCTCCCTCTCCCAAAGCCCCTCCCCCACCCAGTCTTCCCTGAGCCCAGGTGATTCTTTGCCAAGTCCATTCTCACTACTCCATGTCTGTCCCAACTTCCAGGCTCTTGCTGTCTTTGACCCAGACAATCACACAACTTCCTAACTCATCTTGCACCTCATGTGCAATCCAGATCTTCCCTGCACTTCCCACACTCAGGACTCTTCCGTGGCTCCCTGTCATTTTCAGGATCAGACTCGAACCCTTTAAAAGCCTGACTTCTGACATCTCACCTTTTGCTCATCCATCTCACCCATCACCTTTCTTCCTGTTCTGGTCACACTGGGAAACCCTAGTTCTGTTTCTGTGTTTCCACCTCGCTCTCCATGCCTGTCTGTCTGCCTGAGCTGTCATTCCTCTGTCACTGTGCATCCAAATTCTGCTCTCTCAGAAGGTCCATGTTCAATAACTCCTGCTCCAGGCAGTCTTTCTTGCTTCTCTCAGCACCATGGGATGGGTCCTCCCTCTGAATCTTCCTGCAGCTGCATCTTTCATCAATTCCCCAGTTTCACAGTTAGTTTCCGTGTTTCATGTCTTCACTCAAATGGGAGTTCCTTGAGGACAGGTCATATCTGGCATCTGATATTGACATGCCCCATGATATATAAAATAGGGCTGTGTACACAGTAGGTGCTCAGTTAATGCTTTTTGTGTATTCGTGTGTAGGAATGAGTGAGTGAGTGAGCGAGTGAGTGATGGAGCACCTTGCTCATATTGTGGGACATTGAGAGTGTGGGACAGAAATGGGCCAACTCGAGGAATGTTATTCCAGACTGTCAGTCACCCCTGGTGTCAACAGTGTTGTTGGGATCATGGGACTGGGGAGGCCTTGAGTGGAACTCCTCTGGCCAGGCTGTCAGCCCGACCCCGACTCCTGGTCCCCAGAGCCAAGAGTCTAGGGCAGGGGTGGGCAAACTTTTTGACTCGAGGGCCACAATGGGTTCTTAAACTGGACCGGAGGGCCAGAACAAAAGCATGGATGGAGTGTTTGTGTGAACTAATATAAATTCAAAGTAAACATCATTACATAAAAGGGTACGGTCTTTTTTTTCAATAGTTTTATTCATTTCAAACTGGCCGGATCCAGCCCGCGGGCCGTAGTTTGCCCACGGCTGGTCTAGGGTGTGAGTGGGTTCCATCCTCATGAGTATGAGCATCTCAAGAACAACAGGGACCAGAGAGTGTTCAGACTCCCCCGAATCAGAAGAAAACAAACTGTGTGTTTCCGATGCCCCCTGATCAAGCTTCTGCTTCAGCTGAGAGGCCTGCGCACATTGTCTTTGTAAAGAGGACTCTGGTATTGGCCCGTGTGAGAGCCTAGCACCACCTGCCAGAAACCACCACAGGCGTCATCTCTGCGCGGGGCCCTTGGCCAGAGGCAAGGGGCATGGGGATGAGGGTGCTCTGGTTACTGCTCAGTCAGGCCTGAGAAGTGTCTGATGGGAAGAGGTTTCTCAGCAGAAATATCTGTGTTTGAGCAAAAGTCTCTACTTTGAAACTTCAGACTGAAGCTTTCTCTTACATTCTTTACCGTTTCTGATCACGCATCCACCTTTTATTTAACTTTCTTTGAGTCATTTCTTCATTTGGGTCTGAGGTTGGGGGAGGGGGCTCATTTCATCTAGAGTCACCACCCCTGGATCCAGAGCTTGAGGGTGGGAGGTCACGGGGCTGTGGACCATCCACCTCCGCCGCTGGTGCGGGATGAGGGACCTGGTGGTTGTTGGTTTGGGGTACCCACATGCTCTAGATGGATTTCCCAAAGGAATTTGTCAAAAGCAGCCCCCCAGCTTGCACACTGAGAAGTCCCAAGCCCAGTGGACCCCAGCAGCCCCACCCAGCCCCACTGGAGCAGGGCCTCATTCTGTCTCTGGGTCCCTCCCCCGAGACACCACCGGCCGGTGCTTCCTGTGGTCACCCATCTCTGTATGTGCTGTTTTTGCCTTGTAGTAACTCAGATTGGTGTGTCCCAAGGGCATAATATGTGTCCAGACCCTGGCATACCTGAAAGGGGCAAAAGACTAGGCTCGGATTTCAGGTAAGATATGTTTGGGAACTTTCTGATTGCAAGGAGGGTGGGATGGGCTGCAGGTGGGAAGGAAGGGGCTGGCTGGTCTTCCAGGAGGTGGAGGGCGGAGGATGGTGCAGATACGGGAATAGACACTTTCTGGAGAAGCGCTATGGCCTTTGACAGTCTTTCCTAGTCCAGTTCTGGGAATAGCGCCCTTGCCTGAAGGGGAAGAGGAGAGCTGTAGACTATAGTGTCACCTGCAAACCAATCCCTAGGTTACAGAGGACCACTGTTGCCAGGAATGCGATGCCAGCAAGCAGCTTGTGCCTCTGATAACCTGGGAGCCCCTAGGGCCCCAAGATGGTGCATTTCACAAGGTTTATATCAGTCTTCTTCCCCTAATTCTCGATTTTTATTAGTTTTGTGTATCATCCACCCACTCTGAGCTGTCCTAATTGATACTTAGAGGATTACTGTTTTGCTCACAAAGTCAGTTTTTGACTTAATCCTAAAACCATTCAGTGGTCAAAACAGTGGGGATTTAAGTGATAAAATTGGAACGATCAAGGCCAGAACAGAAGTAAGGTTGAGGTGGTACTTTATGGAAGCAGGAGGCCCCCCGGGTGGGCCCAGGATCGAGCTCACAGACGCACCTTGTCTCCCAGGTTAGGATCCAGCGTCCAGTTCACCTGCAACGAGGGCTATGACCTGCAAGGATCCAAGCGGATCACCTGTATGAAAGTGAGCGACATGTTTGCGGCCTGGAGCGACCACAGGCCGGTCTGCCGAGGTGAGGGTGCCCTGGGAAAGGGAGGCTGGCCAGAGCGCTGGGCTGGGTGTGGAGGATATAGCCCAGCTCTTAGCGCCTGCGGCCAGGGCTCCCATCCAGGCTGGCTCAACCCACTCTCACTGCTCCCCAGACCTGGGATCCTGCATTCATTCACTGATCCCCTTACATTTATTTAGCACCTTCCCTGTGTCAGGTTTACACTAGGATGAGGACATCCATGAGTGGGGAAGAGAACCATGGCCCTGCATGGACCTTTCAATCTAATGGGGAGTACATATACAATAGGTTGCTACCTTATTGCACAGATGTTATCCCTATACCTAGATAGGAAGGGGAGTCACCCTCATGATGTCTCCTTTAATCCCTCCATTATAACACATGTACATCCTGACCCCTGAATCTCAATGTATGTTTCTCTCCACATACTCGGCAATAAACAGGCCTGCCCTTCTGAAGGTGCTCTTAGCTGAGCAGAGCATATGGACCTGTCTCAGAAGCTCCTCTGTTCTAGCCCTACACCTGGGCACTTGTTCTCAGGGCCGTGCCACTCATGTCCTCAGATGACACATGTACCAAGGTTGGGCTGGCTAAGCCCTCATCCCCCAAACGATCTTAAAATGGCAGACCTGAGTGTGTGCCATTGTGAGGACAGAGCAGCAGCTGCTTCTGTTAGAGAAGCCCTGGCCTCATTCCCCAGGGCACCGGGAGACGGCTTGTAATTCCCTACAGTCTGTGCATCTCTCCTTCCGCTGTTTGTGCGCATGGCCCGGACTCAGTCTTGGTGCAGGAATAAGCACTCGAGTTCATAAACGCAGCCAACAGCTGCTCTTTCGAGCACCCCATTGGAAGAGAAGGCGTGTTGCCCGTGATAAAGTTGCAGTCTGGGTTCTTCCGGTTTAAGGGGAGATTTTTGCACCTCTGCAGGCACATGCATCACTGTGAGATCCATGCAGAGTAAGGGGTCCAGGAGAAAGAACTCTGATCGTGACCACACTGAGGAAACCCACTCCCTTTTTCAATGGTTGATAAGTCACCTGGAAGAGGGTTCTGAACATATTTCAAATGTGCCTTCGTTTTATTCATTCTCACTCAGCATCCAGGTGGCTGTGATCCTCAGTGAATAATGTACTTTGAGTTCCCACTAATTTTAGCTATATTATTTCAAAGATTCCACTTAGCTAATATTTTTTAAACATCAAACGAAAAAAGAATTCTTGGGTATAACTCTCAGCTTTCCCACTAGCTGGCCATGGGCAGTTTGGCAAATCATTAATTTTCCTGGGGCCATTGTTCTTACTGGTAAAAATAAATAATGGTACCTATCCTCCTCCATCTTGTGTTAATGTGAAGGTCAAATGGAGTTGTGGATATAGGAACCTTTATAAATTGGGGAGTGCTACACAAGAAATCAGATATCATCTTGCTAGATGATAAGCTCTCAAGGGCAAGGAGTTCTATTTTGTTTTCAAAACAGGGCCTGGCACTTAGTAGGTATTCAGTAACATGTCATCTCTCCTTTAAAAAAAATAAAATAAAATAAAATAAAATAAAATAAAATAAAATATATATATGTGTGTGTGTGTGTGTGTGTGTGTGTGTGTGTGTGTGTGTATACTTTTTATTTATTTCAGAGAGAGGAAGGGAGAGGGATAGAAATATCAATGATGATAGAGAATCATTGATTGGCTACCTCCTACACACCCCCTACTGGGGATTGAGCCCAAAACCCGGGCATGTGCCCTGATTGGGAATCGAACCATGACCACCCAACCAGCAAACCACACCAGTTGGGTCAGTAACATGTCTTGAATGGATGGTTGAATGAATGAATATTGACTAGCTGAGCACTCCAATTCCAAGGAGCCAGACACCAGCTGTGTGGAAAGACACAGAATTATCAAATCTGAAGTACCAGGGACCCTGTACCAATCTATTGTTTTCAAATTCCTTTTGAGGATCAGCCAGAATAAGGATACCTTTAAGCAGTGGTGAGATCTGATCTCTCACCAAGATCTTCTCATGGAAGGAAGGTTGTTCTCTTAGTAATGGCAGTTGCTTACATGAATATGCCCAAGGGCTGGTGTTTTGGAAGGAAGTTCCCAGTTGAGTAACATGCTCACCTTTTTCTCCAGACGTGTTGCATGTCCCACTGAAGTCCTCCAGTGGTTTTGACCCAGTGGACTCTGAACTCTGCTACACTGTTAACTAAGCACTGGGCTAAGCTTTTCACAGCCCTTCTCATTTTATCTGCTGCCACTATGCAGCTGGGAAGAATCATGGAAAATCAAGCCAGGGAAATTGGGTTCCAACACAACCATCACCACTTTTTAGTTGTCCTTGGGCCAGTGTCTTCGCCTCTCTGAATCTCTTCTTCTCCTGCTAAAGGCAGATTATAGAAAATTACTTTGTGACATTACAGCAAGGACTAGATGAGGCAGTGGACTGCAAGCTTTTGTGTAGAAACATCCCAGTGTGGCTCTGAGGCTTTTGTGCACACAGGCTTGGTTTAAACTGCTAAACACTGCTGGGATTTAGCTTCCCCACGCCTGGGGGCCCACCACAGCCTCTAGCGGCCGCGGGGTCTTTTAAAAGCCTGTCCCTCACTGTCTCGCCAGATCACATTGCAGTGGCACAGTTTGGAGGCACAGGGACTTTGATCTGGATCACAACTCTGCCCCCATTAGCTTGCTGGCCCTGGCAGGTTCCTTCATCTTTGTTTTAGCCACAGGGCCCTCATTGTGAACTGGGAAACCAGAACTTCCCCTGCTTAGTGATGGCAAAATGTAAATAAGCCACGTTATAGAGAGTGGCCAGCACGGCAGTGGAGAGGGGTTCTCAGGGCAGGTTCACCTTCTTGCCGCTCCCTCCTCCCTGCTTCTCTCCCCTAGATCGTCTCAGGGAGAGCGAAGGCAAAGGCTCCTGGGTTTGAGCTTGGACCAGCTGTCCTGGGCAGCACTGAAGGCCAAGGGCTGAAATAGATATTAGATTCAAGGGTCCTTTTATTTGGGCAGTTTTGAAAGTTTTTCTTTTCAAATCTCTAGTTTTGAGTTTAAGTAAACCTCACTTTAAGAATAAAAAAGGGACAAAACTGAATTCCAGGATAGCTGCACTAATAGCAGGTCACCCAGAGATCACATTCTGAAGAGGATCTGTCACCACACACATAGCGGCATTGTTTCTCCTCTAATGCATTTCAGTTGTGATGTGATTTTAAATATTCCTTGTCCACACAGTTAATTACACTAAAACACGAGGCCTGGCAAATAATAGGCTCTCCACAAATGTTTCAAGACGACCTGCATGAATCGGTGATTGAAAGGAATGAATGCTGTGGCACTGTGCCCTCACTTTGGAATCTGACATCAGGCATTCACAGGCCTTTCTTTTGTTTTCCTCCCACCCAAAGAAATAAGCATCTACTTTGACCCCTAGAAAATTGTGATCTTCCAAAGGAGATTGAGGGCACCTGAGCACTGTTATACGCACTCCATTCAGCCCCAGATAGAGGCAGAACAGTATATATAATAGGGGCTTACTGGACTTATTTTATATATGGGGCTTAATATTTTAAAGTGAGATTTCACAGAAAATAAAACAGATGTAGGTGGGAGGTCTCGCACTACAATAGGGACAGGAGATTGGGAGTTGCTCACAGTTCACCACTCTCAGCAGCCCCTAAGCCACCTCCAAGGAACCCCTGATGCTCTGGGGAACACTGTTTATAAACCACTGATAGAATGAAGAGGACCAAATTGACAACCAGGAGACCTGGTGTCTTGTGACCACAAATTGGGGTTGACAGAGAATAGGACTCGGTACCAGCCCCAGAGGAGATACTTACAATTACTGAGATAATCTACAGAAAACAATACATTTCTTTATCCTTTGTGGAGAAACCCACTATTTGCTGTATACATATGTATATATTTATGTACACATATTACATACATGCACATTTACATATCTGTTTAAAATGCAGACCTTTATGGTAGCGAGAACACCAGACTCAGGACTCAGACCTAAGTTCAAGTTCCAACCTTGCTGTTAACTTGCATGCCGTATAGCCCAGGGCAAGTCACTGAACTGCTCTGAATCTCCTCCCTCATTCTCACACAATGGGAATGAAACATGGAAAATATGGCACCAACCAGCTAAACTAAAGGCCATGAAAATTGCAGGTGACTATCTTCCTTCCTGGTGGCCTTTGCTGGATCAGCTTCCTGGGCCTACTCCTTAAACACCAACTTTCCGAGTTTTCATCCTCCTCACCTCCCTTTCCCCCACTCCTACCTTGAGCCTACACCTACCTCCTCTCTTCTCCCTTCATTGTTCCCTGAGTCCCATATGCACGAACGATAAAGCTCCCATTTATTGAGCTATTTATACTTGTATAAAGCATTGTAGTAGGCATTCCTCATAATTTCTTTATGAAGAATGTGGCAATATCCATATTTCATGTTAGTTCAGGCTTGGTGTAGTCAGTCTACTCGCCCAAGGGCACAAAGCTAATCAGTGGAGCTGGAATTCAAACCCTGACTCCAAAGGCTCCATCCTACACTTCCTGAAAATTGTACCTGCACATCCTTCAGAGTCAGTTTGTTGGATGGAACCACATAGAACATCTTTCTCCCCCACTTTTTGGTAACTTAAATTTTGATTTAAAATTGTAAACTCACAGAAATTTTGCAGGAAATGTGCAAAGAACTCCTTTGTGCTCTTTACCCAAATCCAAACAACTACTTTTAATGAGTTAATGGCCAAGGAGGGAGCTGAGAAGGGCCAGAGAGGCATCATAGAAGCCAATGAATGCGAGTTTAACCAAGAGAGGAGGGTCACTATGGTTAGATCCTCCAGAGAGGTCAATTGGGGTTACGTGTCTCCAACTGAGTGGCAAATGGTTGAAGTTTTTCTTGTAAGAAATTGTCGAGGAAACTGAGCAAAGAAAAGGAAAAGGACTGACTTGAGCAGAAGCTTCAATTACAATGGCAAACCATGAATCCGTGGTGGTACCACGGTGCTCCAGGCAGCACCCTGGCACCCAGGATTAGGAATAGAGAAGGTGGATGGAGAATTAATCAAAGGCATACTAGTATATGAGTGTTGAAGGAGCCATTGGTGAGGGTCTTAAGGTCCAGACTAGTGAAAGAAGAATGATTAGCAGGGGATTGAAAGATGAGGGGAAATGAGGGAACCATAAGGCTGGAGGGGCCTATGATTTTAGGATAGCAAATACCTCAAGATCAAGTTGCTCTGCTGGGTGCATAGGCAGCAGGGGAGAGAATGGGATGATGGAGTTTAAGATTTCACAGATGGCTCTTGGGCCCAGAGCAGCAAATCCTGGGTATGGCCAAGGACATGGATGACTTTGGGTAGGAGGACTGGCCTCTAAAAGGCAAAGGAACTGAAGGGAAGATGAGCACATAAGCACACAGGATTGCAGAATGGGGGATGAGAGAGAGCATGTGCCTGCCAGATGTTGTCTGTTTCATCCATAAAGACTAAAGCAAGGTCATCAACTGAGAGTAAGCGGAACAAGAGGAAGGGTGAGAGGTCCGAGGAGCAGTTAGAAGGAATGAAAGGTTCTTTGTACAGAGTAGGAGAATGAGCTCAATAGAGCTAAATGGCAGAGTTGCTGGGAAATATCTAGGATTTTTTTAAGGTGAATAATCAGGAATTTATAGTGATGTCAATCTTTCTGCTCATGTGATTTTTCTCCAAAAAGCTCAACCTTATGGGGGCAGATCTAGAGAATGTAGGTGGAGAGCTTCATCCATAATTGATATCTTTCAGGCAACTGATGAAAGGAAAAGGGAGCAAGAGACTTGGATGGATTTGCAAGAAAATAATCATCATGGTGGACCATGGGCTCAAGGTTTGATAAGGACAGAAGAGGAGACAGGGAGTTGATGGGTGGAGAAAAAATGTTGGTGATAGTGGAATGAGTGGAGTTCCTCCAGGGGTTCAGCAGCTATTTATGGAGCAATGACCTCCAGGAGGTGAGAGAAAGCTCTCCACTACAGAGGGCTGGCGAGGAAGCAGTGGACTGGGGAGGGGGAGACGGGCTTCGATTAAGGCAGGAGCTGGAGCAGGAGGCACTGAGAGATGTTGCAGATGCCAGCCAGGTTTGTTTGCCTTAGACTTGGTGGTGGGAACGTGGACAGGAGGAAGAGGCAGGTCAGTAGTAGGAGAAGCAAGGGAGGATAGCATGGAATAGTATGGGAATCAGTTTTGGAGAGAAGATAGAAGACCAAAGGCATTTGCATCTGAAGCAGTTTCCTTTTTGGTGCCAAGTTGTTGCTGTGCCAGAACTGGCTGTGAGTCCTGATCGTTCCTCCTAATGTCCCCTGGAATACCACCCTGTTATAAAGTAGTGATGTGCAGAGCTCAGACATGGAAGGCTATGGAGAAGTCTGAAAGCTATCCAGGAGAAAATGTGATGGGAAAAGGCAAAGAGAGAAACATCAACATGTGTGTATTCATTAATTCAGACTTTGTCTGACCATCTACCATTTTGTCAGCCCGTGTGGGTTGCAGCCATGAGCTAGCCATCTGTTGATGGGATCCCAGGGGCTGGCTGTTCAGGGGGACGTCTGTCCACGGACCCCCTGACCTCACCCAGACAGCAGAGACAAAAAAGTAGCTGATGCTCCATTCTGAAGCTGTTTTAAGGAACTTCGTGCTAAATATCTGCAGAATGTAATATTTTAATTAATCCCCTCTAAGCTCTTAAAGTGGTAAATGCCTGTTTGACCTGTTCTCTCTAATTACCTTCAGCATATTTCAACAGACTGCAAATACCTTCTAATTTTTGGAAACAAGTGCAGGATAAATTGAGTCTGAGGCTGAGGGCTTTTAAGGCAGCGAAACCTGGCTTTCCAGAGGAGGTGTAAGATGGTGCTGGTGGAGGTTGAGGGTTCCCCAGAGCTAGGGTTCTGGATCCACAGGTCCTCTTCGAAGAGGTAGGCTGGGGTCAAGGCTTTGGTTTTGATGATCTTATTCAAATTTGTTTAGTAATGTCCGTCTCAAGTGTGGTCACAGGGGAAAGTCCTACATAAAGCAACTTCAGGAAAGGTAGAAAAAGCTCTCAGGCCTTGAGAGAAATCTTGGGCATCGTGAAATGGAATGAACAGGCATCGGAAGTCCCACAGTCTCGGCTCCCCTTTGCTGAATATTGACGATGCCCCAGGTCCTGGGGGAGCCTTCACATCCATTATCTCAGGTACCTGCATCCTATCATGCCTCCTCGGGAGATGTCACTAGCCCCATCTTACAGGTGAAGAATAGAATCAGAGAGGTTTTCTAACTTCTTTAAAGCAAGTAGATTTAAAACCCAATAGGAACAGCACCTGGCATCCAGGATTAGGAAGAGAGAAGGTGGATGGTAGAGTTAATAAAAGGCAGAAATGAGAGTGTAGAGGACGCCATTGGTGAGGGTCTTGAGGTCCGGACTAGTGAAATTTATGAGAGAACAAAGGGCATGTCAGCATAAAAGAGAACTCTCCTCACAATGGCAGCTGCCTTCAGGCCCCGTTGTATCAAGCACGACCTGTGAATTGAGGTGTTTCTCAGCACAGACTTACAGAAGCAGCTGGACGCCCACAAGGGGAATGGAGGAGAGGATTCTCCTAGGCCAGTGATGGTGAACCTATGACACGCGTGTCAGAGGTGACACGCGAACTCATTTTTTGGGTTGATTTTTCTTTGTTAAATGGCATTGAAATATATAAAATAAATATCAAAAATATAAGTCTTTGTTTTACTATGGTTGCAAATATCATATAGAAAAAAAATTTCTATATGTGATACGGCACCAGAGTTAAGTTAGGGTTTTTCAAAATGCTGACACACCGAGCTCAAAAGGTTCGCCATCACTGTCCTAGGCCCTTGTTTAAACTAGACTCAACTGACCTCTGAGCTCAGGAGGAGGGAGAAGACCCTTTGGGTGCCAGGCTGAGGGCATGCCACCAGGAACTGCCCCACTGCCAGTGACGAACTAGAAGAGAAGGAGCCATTCGGACCCAGCCGCTTCTCGCAGATAACTCTCCGACAACTCCGCCTGATGCTGTTTCCGTATCTGCTTCCTCCTCAAGCTGCTGGCCCTGCAGAGAGGGCTGCGTCTTAGATGGTTTTTCTCCCCACACTCTGCCTGGTCCCTGTTAGGCACTCAATAAACGTTGGAATGAGTGAGTGCAGGAATGAGCGTCTGAAATGAGAAGAGATGAGTTCTGTCCGGAAGCTGCGGGAGCCCCTTCCCAGACCCTCCAGGAAGGGTTCCTGGGAAAGGTGGATCCTGGCCCCATCCACACACAGAGATGAGCTCCAGGATGTGTTGCCCCATCAGAGGAAACCAGGCTTGACACCACTTTCATTTCATATACTTAGGCTTGCTGCGTTTGCTCACTATTTCTTTACCTTTCGGCACTTTGCCTACAATTAGGATAAATTGTCATGTGGGCAGCAATGGAACAGGCTCATAGAACTCTTTATTAAAATAGCTGAGCACTAACATTGAAGAATGAAGTGGCTAGAACTAAAGAACACGTTTTTAAAGAAGGCAAACACCTAGGTACAATGTAGTACCTTAACTGTTATCAATCACTACTTAATCTAATTAGCTCAGAAGCTATTTTAAGGGGCTTAATTAGATTAAGCTGTGATTGATAACACTTTATATCTACTTGAGTAGAGCACTTCTTCTAATTCACCTTGAATCTTTATGCTTCCCGTCAAAAGCCTGTTTTAGGCATGTGCGGAGAGGGAAGTGGGGAGGCTTTGATTGGCACTGAGGTCACTCAGGTTGCCTGGTCCAGGCTGAGCTGGGGGCCTTGGCAGAGTCCTTGGGCACAGACATTCTGAGACCTGGTGAGGTGGCCTTGACAAGGACACCTGAGATTCTAGTTCAGGAGGCCTGAGCAAACTGGGAAGCATAGGTCAGCAGAGCAAAGCATGGGCACCTCAGCAGGCCTACAGATGTCTGGGGCCCACCCAGAGTTAGGTTACGTGAGGAGTACCAGGCCGCACCCTCTTGGTAGAGTTGAGCTGCAGATCACAGTGGAGTTGGGGTTGGGGGCTGGCTTAGCTTGACCATGGAAGCTCATCGCTGCGCACAGGGCAGGCAGGGCATGTGGGGCCTCCCCCTACCCCGGTGCTCCAGGAACTGTGACTTCCCTCTGAACCCACTGAGAACTATGAGGGAAGAAAACAGAAAGCAGAAGGTTATACCTGGGTGGAGACTGTACAGACTTCAGTCTCTTCTGGGCTGGGGCTGAGAGGTGGGGATGGGAACTGGACCTCGTCTAAACAAAACTTCCATCTTCTCTCTGCAGCCCGCATGTGTGATGCCCACCTTCGAGGCCCCTCAGGCATCATCACGTCCCCCAACTTCCCCATTCAATATGACAACAACGCCCACTGTGTGTGGATCATCACAGCACTCAACCCTGCCAAGGTGAGGCTCCTGAGGAGCATGGGTGGTGTCCTGTGGGCAGGGCCTGGCTGGAGACATTTGGTCTACAAGGGTTTCAAACTCAGAACTTAGTCCTGGTGGGTTCTTTATAGGCAAATCTTTAAAATTGTTTTATTAAATATCAAGTAGATAAAAAGCAAAATATAAGTAAGATATAAAGAACATCAATGCAATAGACACCTGCATAGCCAAATCCCAGTTACCTTAGGGATGTATATCCCTCACCAGCCCCATTCCATTCCCTATCCCTCAGGTACACTCTACCTTGATTGTGTGCTTATCATTCCTCTTCCTTGTTTACAGTTTACACATAAATGCGTATCCTTAAAAATACATTGTCTAGTAAGCCAGCATTTGAACTTCATATAAAGGTAGTCATGTTGTGTATATTCTTAATCAACTTCACTCAAAATTATGTCCCTAAGATTTATCTGTGTTGTTGTGTGTAGTTTTGCAATGCTTTACACATCTTTTCACACACTTATTTCACATTTAGTTCTCTCTTTTTTGGTGACATGCCCCTTGTTCTCTCATAAATTGTACAAGTGTCTTGCCAAGATCCACAGAATAACCTGTTGGAATCTTTAGTTATACCAAACTATAGATCAATTAGAAAAGAATGCTTATATTTGTAATTCTGAGTCTTCTGGTCCATGAGTTGAGTATGGTATTTCTCTCTATTGACTTAGGACTTCTTTAATGGCTTTCAATAAACTTTTGGAATTTTTCCATTACAGATCTTGTACCATTTCTTAACATATTTACTCCTAAATGTGTTATATTTGTTGTTGCTGTTATAAATCATATCTTTTAAATTTTTATTTTCTACCTATTTCTTGCTGATGTTTAAAATGCAATTAGTTTCTATTCTTTGATCTTTGTATATAGCAACTCTTTTGTAATAATTTATCTGTGAATTATTTGAGATTTTCTCTACAAGACAATCATTATCTTCAAAAAATGATGGTTTTATTTCTTACTTTCCAGTCCTTATACCTTCTCTTCATTTCTTTTCTTGCCCCAATGTTCTGACTTAAACCTCAAATATAATGTCAAATGACTGTGATGATGGTGGGCACTCTTGTCATTGTTTGCTGTTAATAGAATATTCTTCATCATTATGGTATTTGCTGAAGCTTTTTTTTATTTGTTTTTTCCTAATCTGAGTTTGCTAAAAACTTTTATTGTGAATGGACGTTGAGTTTTATCAAGTACCTTTGTATACTTATTAATATGATTTGCTCCTTTATTTTCTTAGTATGGTGAATTACATGGGTTGACTTTTCTGATGTTAAACCAACCTCACATTCCTGGTATAAACTCAACTTGGTCATTTAGCATTCTCAATTTTATACATGCCTATAATTGATTTGCTAATATTTTATTTAGTAATTTGCTTCTATTTTGTTAGTGAGATTGGACTTTTATATTACCCTTGCCAGATAATTCTGTCAAATATTGCTAATCTCATAAAATAATGTGGAGAGTGTTTCCCCTCTTCTGTTCTATGGAACTAAAAGTGGAAGATTAGAATAGATTTGGAACTTCTGTGCAACATTTCAGGAAAATTATCTGGGTCTGATGTTCCTTTTTTGGAAGATTTGAAACTATAGGTTTATCTTTTTATGACTAAAGGATTATTTATATCATCTTTTTTTTCTTGAAGCCATTTTATTAAGTTTTGTAATTTATTGGGTATAAAGTTGTACATACTGTCTTTTATTATATATTTTTATTCCCCTTTTCATTTCTATTTTGTATCTTTTTTTATCAATATTGCCAGAGGTTTTACATTTTACTATTTTCGGAAAGAGCCAATTTTGATTTTCTTAATACTTTTTTTGATATATTTATTTTCTATTTCATCATTTTCTCCTCATCTTTACTTTCTTTTTTCTATTATATTTGGATTTATCTTGTTATTCTTTTCTGGCATCTTAATGTCAATGCTTAATTTATTATTTTTCAATCTTATTTAAATATTTAATGCTATAAATTTCCCTCTAAGAACTATTTTGGCTACATTCCCACAGGTTTTTATGCGTAGTGTATCTATTATAGTTTAGTTATGAATATTTTCCAATTTCCATTACTCTTTCATCTTTCAATCCACAGCTTATTTAGGAGTAGCTCCTAATTTTCAAACAAAGGGTTTTTCTAGCTGTCTTTTTGTTACTGGTTCTAAAGCTTGTGGTCAGAGAAAATTGTATTTGAATCATTTGAAATTTGTTGAAACTTGCCTTTTGGACCAGAAATGGTCATTTTTTCACACATATTCTGTGTGTACTTGGAAAAATGAAGTGTATTTTGTAGTTTTTGTGTTTTATTGCATCAAGCTTGTTGATTGTGCTTATACTAGTATTCTTTATATCTTCATTGATTTTATCTTGATCAGACAGCTGCAGAGGACGGCATACTAAAACCTCCCTCTATGATGAGAGAACGCTAGGAATACTAGACAAAAACCACTATGATGGTGGCTTTTGTCTATTATTCCTAAAGTTCTATTAATTTTTGCTTTATATATATATTGGGACTATGTTATGAGATCATGCAAATTGAGAATTATATATCTTTCTGGTGACTTGAAATTTTTTAAAAATAATTATGTAATGACTCTTTATCTGTAGTAATGTTTTAAAGTTTTTTCCAGCTATTACATCAGCTTTCTTTTGGGTTTTGTCTAGTAAATATTCTCTTCTTGCTTTCAACCTTGCTAAGACCTCAGTCCAGGCACATCCTGTCCCAGTGTGCCTTCCCTTCTCCTCCAGGCAAATTCCTTATTCCCCTTTGAGACACAATTAAAATACCCCCTCTTCTGAGAAGCCTTCCTAATTCCTGGAGGTCTTGCTCCTTCCTGTTCCTACTTTTCCCTTTTTGTGTGTGTATCACATTATACTGGGTTTAGAATCTCTTTCTCCTGTAGCTCAGAAATGCCCTGAAAGCATTTTGGAATCTTGTACGGTATTTCTTCTGCAGTTACAGTGCTCAGTGCAGAGGAGGAGCACAGCGGGTGTTTGAATAAGTTAATAACTGATGGAGACCTGTATCAGTGTCTAGTAGCTCCTCAGGTGTGGCCCCTCCCATGTTTAGCCCCAGGGCCACCTCCTGTTATGACCTTTCAGTTCAGCCTCATGGAAGACATGGGTGATAACATTTCCGTAGTCAGGACTAAAACCCAGTCCCGTGTCTCTGCCCCCTACCGACACACATCTGCCTTTCTTTCGCAGCTTCTCAGTGTGAACTCAAGACTTATGATTCCGTGTGCGTATGAACTTCAGTGGATTTGATTGGGAAAGTTAATCCAGCTTTGCTTAAAAAAAAAAAAAAAAAGTAGAAGTGAGGCTGGAAAGGACGAGAGAGATGGGAAAGGGAGGGGACATGGAAGGGAGAAGGAGGGGGCATGGAAAGGAGAGGGAAAGGAAAGCTCATCTCATGAACTTCAAAGCCAAAGATAATAGTGTTTTGATTATTCACTCTTTAAGGATTATCACTGTCACTCTTCCCTTTGTAAGCCTGAAGAATTAAGAATTAACTCTCTAGGCAAGTGATCACTCAGGAGTGCAAATGTCAGGAATACATTTGTTGGCCTATTTGCTCACTCGCTCACACATTTAGCATTTACTCATGCCCTCTGTGCTGGACTGTGCAAGCTGCTGTCTGGCTCTCAGAGAAGCCAGTTTGCATGACAGGGTAGCTTAGAGGGACCTTTTAATGGCCGCCTCCAAGTCCTAAACTTGATCCCCCCCTTTTTTTTTTTACAGTTTCTTCACTTCCCATCATATCTTGGCATTCCTCTTCCCCTAGAACTAACTGCACACCCTTCTCTGTTCTTGAAGACAAGCCCCACCCCTCGTCTAGCCAGGATTGCATGTCCCTCATGTTTGCCCATACCCAAGCTTCCCTAATTTCAGTACTCATCACACCATGTGGTGTTTTCCGTATACTTGTAAGTCTCTTCTAGAATGTGAGCTCTCTGGGTGGTGGCCATGTTTATCTTGCCTGCTATTGCATCTCCGAAGCCCAGCACTTGGCAAGTGCATATTAACTATTGAATGAATGAATGAATGAATGAATGAATGAATGAATGAATGAATCCATCAATCAATGAGTGGATGAGTCACAAATGGGTGAAAGCATCTACTACTTTCAGAGCCACCAAAATTAAACAGAGGCAGTGACCAAAGTTCCAGAACCTCCTCAAGTTCTCAGTCTCTCTCCATGGGCTTTCTTTCCCAACCTCCTCAGAAGCCTTCCTCATCCAAAATATATAAAGAGCTCATACAACTCAATCACAAAAAACACACGAGCAATCCAAAATGGGCAGAGGATCTGAATAGACATTTTTCCAGAGAAGACATACAGGTGGGCAACAGGCACATAAAAGGATGCTCAACATCACTAATCATCAGGGAAATGCAAATCAAAACCACAGCAAGACATCACCTCACACCTGTTAGAATGGTTATTATCAAAATAAAAGAAATAACAAGTGTTGGAGAGGATGTAGAGAAAAGGAAACCTTCATGCATTGTTGGTGGAAATGTAAGTTGGCGCAGCCACGATGGTGGGGTGGGCAAAATGAGTGAGGGAGTCAAGAGGTACAAACTTCCAGTCATAGAGTAAGTCATGGTTATGTACTGTACAGCATGGTAGCTATAGTCAGTAACATTATATTGCATATTTTGTTGTTTTTTCTCTTTTTTTAAAATATATGTTTATTGATTTCAGAGAGCAAGGGAGAGGGAGAGAGAGATAGAAACATCAATGATGAGAGAGAATCATTGATTGGCTGCCTCCTGCATGCTCCCCACTGGGTATTGACCGGGAATCGAACCGTGACCTCCTGGTTCATAGGTCAACCACTGAGCCGTGCCAGCCAGGTTATATTGCATATTTTGTAGCTTTATATGGTGATGGGAGAAACTAGACATATTGTGATCATTTCACAGTACATACAAGTATTGAATCATCATGTTGTA